ATATATGTATTGACCCCCTTCTTCAAATTAGATGTTTCGGCAGCGGGATGAACTCCTAGAACCAGATCGCATGCGAGCAATTCAAGAGGAATTGGCGGCATTCTTTCTTGACCACGTGATCGCTGAAGACGGAGAATACTATGTGGACCATGCGTCCATAATTTAAGAGATTATATTTGTAAAAGATAATTATTGTATATATGTAGCCGGTAGTGTTGGACGATAGATATACGAGAACTTGTTGTTCGACCAATCTCTCGGAGAAGGAGAGGTGGTCGATATCACTTCTCTCTGTATGCATATATGTTCATGACGATCTTCTGTTTCCTTCGTTTTCTTACTAGCTAGTTAGCGTGCCTAGTCCTCTCTATACGTATGTATAGTACGTAGCGTCGACCAAGCACGGACATAAGAAAGGACACTTCTCTCTATTAATTAGCTATCTAACACAATATATGAAATACCTAAATTAACCCCCCAAAACCCCCAAACCCCCCCCCCTTTCAAAAAAAACCAAAAACCCCAGCCACAGAAATGCTGACGCGTGGAGGTCTATTGGTCCCGGTTGGTGCCACCAATCGGGACCAAAGGCCCTCCTGCCTGGGCTCGGCGCACAGGCCACGTGGAGGCTCATCTGTCCCGGTTCTGGTTTGAATCGGGACTAAAGGGTGAGGGTATTAGTAACGACCCTTTAGTCCCGGTACGGGAACCGGGACTAAAGGCCCTTACGAACCGGGACAAAAGGCCGGTTTTCTACTAGTGCTACCTCATTGGTACTTATAGCCTTATAGGAGGCTGATTCTCAAATTGGCTAATAAGCAACGCTTAAATTGGCTAATAAGCAAGGCTTCTCTGGATGTATGAACCAGCATTACATTTTAAACTGAATCAAGTTAACAGTAGATGTAAAGGATTTTTTTCTGTCATGTTTGTCAAAATAGTGCATGACACATATCATGCTCATTGATATGCACATGGGTTACAGTTACTGTACTGATTACAAAATCACCCAGGCTCTGTCATGAGAAATATAAGACAACAAAAATCAGTTGGTTACTTCTCTCCGATTTCACATGGATAGTTGGATTCTGGGTTACATGTGTAGTTTTAGTTCTATAACTTTGATTGACTCTAGTTGTTCGCACACAGTTAGGATGCTTAGTTCAGTTAAAAATATAATGCCGTATGAGTATAAGAATACTAACGAGCTTTCGCTCATGCTAGAGCTGCTGTAACAACTAAGCATCCGATATATAATAACATCATGAAAGGGGCACGGAGCGGCGATCCAATATACACCGGCGATGAAGGTATATTCATATACAATATGTATATGGTACCATCATCTCGGGCTTCCTTGGACTTCCTGTTTGACCTTTGTGCCTGTTCATATAATGATGTGATTCGGCATGCTGATTGCCTTTTTATCCACTGATTTTTCTTTTCTTTCTTTTTATGATTAAATTTTCAGGAAAATACCACTGTATGATTATATAGGTTTAGCTCCAGTTCACATTTTTTTCTTTTTCAAGTGCATGCTACGGTTCATATAATAACTCCATTTCTTTATATTTCACTTTGTCAAGTGCATGCTATGGTTCAGAACAAAATTCAGTTTTCAATTAGAATTCAGTGATGTTCTCACCTTAGATTTTATTTTGCGTAATTGTAGGAAGTGGGGATGGACATTCGTGGATTTGTCGTCCCTGATTTGCTTTGTGGAGGTATAATCTTTCATAATGTGTTGTTAACATATCTCTGGAATAAGTTCTTATGTTCAGTACATATAGTTTGGCTGATTATCTTTTAGGGGCCTTCTTTGGAAAGGCTTCGACAGACTGTTTGAATTACTGCCTTATTAGGTTAATGGAATTTGAACATGTGACTTTATCTTAGTGTCAACCATACAAAGGAATTAGTGACCTGTTCTTAATGATATATAGAGTAGGCAGTAGTGCATGGTAATAATAAAAAATGCATCATGTGTGTGTGCAGGACACATGCCCATGATTCATAATGATTTTTGGCAGTCTTAGAAGAAAATTTCCCATTGCTTTCATCCCCTTTTGAATGTCAATTGCAAAGTTCATCCGTTGGTGAAAGGAAACTGTACTCTTCTTTGTTTTAGTGCTCTGTCTCCCTACTTCTATGACAGAATGGTGTGGCTTTGTGTACAGTAAATGTTCTCTACTCTTGCATCCCATGTATTACTATTGACATGGTTTGTCTACACTTATCTTTAAGGCTACAACCTGGAGTCTCATAGGTGTGTGAAGATGATCTAGGGCATTGCTTCGTTAGGGGTTCACTTATGTACAAGAATGGCATGTTCTTTCACGTGTAATATATTGTGGTTTTTTCTACTCCACACCACCTGGACCATGATCACCGTAACCTGCTCTATGGTTTGGATCTGAGCACTGGACCATGGTGCTGGACAGGGCACGACACCCTAAAGACCGCTCTTTGGAATTCCAATATACTTAGATAGATAAAAATGAAAGTTGAGGACCAACATGTATGTTGTATCGTGGATGTCCTCCTTCATAGCATTGTTTTATGAAATGCACTAATACTCCGAGAAGTTGTTTTGAGTATATTTGTTACAACAAGTATGCTTTGGTATGAAATTTGCCAATATCGTGTGATGAACCTTGATGTTTAGTATTGAATCATTAGTAAGTGTTTACTAACCTCCTTTTTTAGATGTTACATTTGCAGTGAAGTTGTTTTTGGTATAACTTTATCCTATGTAGCTGCCTTACTTATATATGGATGTGCTGCAAACTTTGTTTCAGATTAGGGCATTGCTCTCTCATTTTCGCGCTCTTAGTACTGAACTTAATGGAAGTGGTTACCTTTCGTGGTCACATGACTCGATGTCTTTTATTAGAAGTGAATGTTTCTTCTTTCTTTTATTTTGTTGTGCTATTTGAATACGTACGCTAAACCATGATTATATTTGCTTGACCACATTGTTAAGACCGGCACCCTCGCGCCAAGGCGCGCTGCCGATCTAGTTTTCAATGAAGGTGACGGCCTCACGCGTGTTGACGTTAATCAGTGGTATAGAGTATAGACGTGTACTGCTCGTCTACAGCTATGTAGCAGAAGTACACCCAGTGAATTAGCTAACTCTAGCGACAAGTCAATCCATCCGGTCACAACCCAGGCCGCTGGGCGAGTAATGGTATGAGGACCAAGCCGGACGGGTCAGCCACGTGGGAGACTAGTGGGTAAAATTGGAGAACGGACCAAATCCAAACAAACAACAGCCCGCCTCATGTGCTCACGTAAATTTATAAAATTAAATCTCGAATTTGGGTTTTGAAGCGTCAAAAAGTTCAAAAACCAATCTCGCATGTAGCTACCAGAATGTCTCGTGTGCATTTGCAGATATCCATAAGACATGACTTAATTTATGAATAAGTTTTGTTATAGTTTTACAGATGTTTTATAAACATAAGTATTCGCACCAAACTTGAAACTTTACATAACATATTTTCCATTTTTAAAAGATTTTCAGTTCACCTAACAAATTTTCAATGACGGCAACGGCCTCCCGCGTGTTGACGTTAGTGAGTGGTAGAGTATAGACGTGTACCACTCGTCTACTCCTATATGTAGCAGAATTGCACCCACTGAAATTAGCTAACTTTAGCGACAGGTCCATCTATCTCCGTTCCGCCGTGATGCTAACGAGCCGGTGCGTATTCATCACAGCGGTGCTGCAACTACTAATCTCGTTCCCGGCGGTCGCCGGGGAACCACGAATCGGGCTGCCCGGCTGCCAGACCAGCTGCGGCAACGTGAGCGTGTTGTACCCGTTCGGCATGGGACCGAAGAGGTGCTACTGGCCGGGTTTGAAGCTCACCTGCGGTGTAACGGAAATATCGTCAATCGGTGCGCCTCCTTCTGCCCCATATTTACTGACGACAATGGTAGTCCGCTCCCCGCCCAGTATTTCGCCGCAGACTACAACTCCAACAGCTGCTCCAACTTGGGCTGCTGCCAGTCGTCCATCTTGTCCAGCAGCACGTCCTATGATGTCGAGGTCAATCGGCTCGGCGATTGCCTGCGGTACGGCCCTGTGCCCGACCCGTTTCCCGACGATGTTTCAGTGAATGTGCTCATCGCTGAGGAGCGTTGGTTCTACCCGGAGAATGTCATAAATGTTACCTCGTGGCCCACCGTGATTTTCCGGTGGGCGGTGCCGCATGGTGCCGCGGTCCCGGTGGGGCCGTGCCCCGACGACGCAGCCCGGAGCACCTGCAAGAGCACCCATAGCTATTGCACACAAGAGTGGTCAAATAATACAGTCGGGGCCTATTCTTGCCAGTGCAACTCCGGCTACACCGGCAACCCTTACCTCACCGATGGATGCCAAGGTGAGTTCACAACTTCACATGTGCAGCTATTGCACATGTTGATGTTTTGTTAACTTAATTATGGTATCTTTTATTTACTTAGTCTTAAACAAGACATGCTAAATTAAATTGTGTGCAGATATCCATGTGTGTGATCAGAAAGAAAAACATGGCTGCTTCGGCCATTGTGAGCGACTGCCCGGATATGTTAGCTGCCGGTGCCCAGAAGGAACCAATGGCAACTACTCCATACCCGGGGGCTGTGTCGCAGACACAAACACAGGTATGACACGCACCAGCCAGTCGATTACTACTACTAGTACGTGCAAACAATGGAACTATTATTTTATTGGGCCTGCTTAAGCAAATAGTTATAGTAAACATATGTGCGTGTATTGTTTAACTTTCAGGTAACTTGGCCTTAATCATTGGTTTGTCGGCTGCAAGTGGCCCATTCATTCTACTTTTGGTTCTTTGCATACTCGTATTGTCAAGTGATTTTAAGGAACAAAAGCTGAGGATGTTGAGACGGAAGTTCTTAACTCAAATCCGTGGACAACTGCTGAAGCAGTTGGTATCTCATAGGGCAGACATCGCAGAGAGGATGCTCATTTCGTTAGAAGAGCTACAGAAGGCTACCAACAATTTTGATCAAGCTCGAAGGCTTTGTGGTAGAGGGCATGGCACTGTCTACAAAGGGATCTTGTCAGACTTGCATGTTGTGGCTATAAAGAAGTCAAATATTGTTGTCAAAAGAGAAACTGTCGAGTTCATCAATGAAGTTGCGATACTCTCACAGATCAACCATAGGAATATTGTAAAGCTTCGTGGGTGTTGCCTCGAGATAGAAGTCCCTTTATTGGCATACGAGTTCATTTCCAATGGAACACTTAGTGATCATCTTCACACGGAAGAACCAAGATCGTTAACTTGGAAAGATAGGTTAAGGATCACAACCGAAACATGCAAAGCTCTTGCATACCTTCACTCTGTTGTTTCAGTGCCCGTAATACATAGAGATATCAAGCCTTCCAACATACTTCTTGATGATGCCTTGACAGCAAAAGTGTCAGACTTTGGAGCTTCAAGGTACATTGCCATGAATCAAACAGGAACAACAACTGCAGTGCAAGGAACTATAGGTTACTTGGATCCTACATATTATTATAGCAAACGCCTCACAGAAAGTAGTGATGTTTATAGCTTTGGAGTTCTTCTTATTGAATTGCTTACTAGGAGGAAGCCATCTTTGTATAGATCCAATGAAGGCATTGGGCTTGTCATAGATCCAATGAACCGGGACTAAAGGCCCTCTAGAACCGGGACTAATGGGTCTTTTTCTACTAGTGCTAGCACTCTTTCCACTAGTGCACAATGGAAAAAAGATATGATTCTCCGCATAAAGCACATCTGTCTGAGCCTGGGCCATTACATTTACGAATCTGGTCCGCCGTAGGCAGGCGCCCCTTAAAATCTTGCCACAAGAAAATCTTAATCTTGGGAGTAATTCGAGGACGCTATATATATGTAACCTTAGAAGTAGGGGTGCCAGAAATTAACCTATCACACAAAGACTTAATAGAGAAACGGCCAGAAGAAGAGTGGGGCCACACAACTGAGTCCTCATTCTCCGAGAGCACGGGGATGTAGGCAACAAGTCTCTGCCAAGCATCAAGCTCTTCAGGAGATAGAGAACATCGGAAAGCCAGATCCCAGTTATTACCGAAGAGCTCAAAGACAGATATCTCTAGGTACGGGCAATAATAAAAAAGCGTAAGGGCCGTACATATCATTGTAACTTGCCTATGACATATCATTGTAACTTGCCTATGACAGTAGTCTGTGTTTTTTATGAGTGTGCGTTAGTGTTGACCGTGTATATCTAAGTTATGCAGCGACAGAGTGCGTGATCATTGCGTTTGTATCATCTTGATGCTTCATTTTGAATGAATAAAATCCACCCTTCAACCCAAAAAAAAAAGCATTGATGTTCCTGACCTAGCAGGATAAAGAGTGGTTGGAATCACCGTCCCGGCCTTTAAGGGTAGAAGAACACGTTTATTTGACCAACGGTTCTCACTCTCAGTCATCGAAACTCTGTGTGGGTCCCGGGGAGACCGGCCAAGTCCAAGCCTTCACATACAAGACAGTGACATGTTTGTTTTCCTTTTATTTTTGCGAGAACACATTTTTGTTTTCAAGGGGCACAAAAAGCCATAGACCTGTATACTAGTCCTTTTGGAGGCTAGTCTTTGTGAGAACGACCATCCTCGATGTGGAAGTAGTTTGGTGAAGTTTGCATACTATCTTCTTTACAAGTATAAAACATACACTAAAATATCTCGACTCACTAACATTTACAACCAATCAAATAATTTTCATAGGTCTGCCTCTAATTAAGTGGAGTTGTTTGTTTTAAAACACAAAATATATTCCTAAAATATCTAACCCCCGTCTCATTTCCAGTCAATCAAATAAGATGGAAATGTGGCTCTGGATCTAACAATATGTTGATGGCTAGAAAAGCCATCTGGACCACTCAAACACACGGTTGCTGGCTAATGTTTCTTTCATCAGGCATTTGGCCAAATCCATACGAAAAATCACCCAACCACGTGCGCTCTATTTATTTTTTATTCTGTCTTTCGTCATTGGAATATTGAAGCGTCAATTTTTTTTCTAAAAAAAGTCTCATACGTAGCTATCCGAATGACTCGTGCATTTGCGAAGTTGCCTAGGAAATGACAAAATTTGCGAATGAGTTTTGTTATTTTCTGTCCACATGAATGTCTCAGAAAAATAGATATTTGCACAGATTTGCAGTTCACTCAACCCATTTTCAAAGAAGGCCTCACACACCTTAGCGTTAGCGAGTGGTATAGATATGCACGCCTGGATTACTCCTGCATCGTAGCGCATAACTGCATAAGTACACCACTGGAATTAGGTAACTGTAGCGACAAGTCAATCCATCCTGTCCTGCCATAGATAATGCTAAGCAGCTGCGTATCCATTGCGGCAGCGGTGGTGCTGCTGCTAATCTCGGCAACGGCGGCCGCAGCAGGTCCTCCGCGGATGAAGATAGGGATGCCCGGCTGCAACACCACCTGTGGCAACGTAAGCGTGCCTTACCCGTTCGGGATGGGCCCAAAGAGCTGCTACTGGCCGGGGTTCAAGCTCACCTGCAACAACAACGGAAGCAAGCCCCCGCGGCTGCTCCTCGGCGAGGGCAGTGGTGGCGTGTTCGAGGTCGTCGATATCTCCCTGAAGAACAGCACGATGCGCATCGTCAATCGTGGACTGCGAGCCATCAACATGAGCGACGGCTCCGGCCAGTGGATCATAGCTGACGCTAAGACCATCGGCGCCGGTGGGGTGGCCTACCTGCTGAACCCGGGGTCCAATGAGTTCATACTGACGGGCTGCAATGTGCAAGCGACGTTGCTGGCGAACCGGAGCCTCGCCAGCGGCTGCGCCTCTTTCTGCCCCGAATTTGGTGATGGCATTAGCTATACCCAAACTTATAAAAGGGGAAATTCCAAAGCATGCTCCAACATCGGCTGCTGCCAGTCCACCATCCAAACTGCCAGCGCGTCTTTCGGCGTGGAGCTCAAGCAGCTCAACTACAGCGGCGTGTACAGTAATTTTAGTTCCCACGTGAACGTGCTTATCGCCGAGGTTGGCTGGTTCGACGTAGACCACAACCTGGAAGTGGTCATGAACGTGGATTGGCGGGCAAACAAAAATCTCTCGCGGGAGGCTGATCAGCTCAGGGTTCCCGTGATTCTCGCGTGGGCGTTGGCACACGACGCAGCAGTGTATAACACTGGCCATTCGCGCTGCCCTCGCGACGCAGCCCGGGGCATCTGCAAGAGTACCAACAGCAATTGCAGCGTCGGAAACACAATTGAAGAAATCAGAGGCTATTCGTGCCACTGCAAGGAGGGCTACGAGGGCAACCCTTACCTCACAGGAGGATGCCAAGGTGAGTTTACAACTTGACATGTGACTTACGTAAACTTGATTCTATTTTTGCTTGATTTGATCAGACAATATATATGCAGATATCAAAGAGTGCAATCAGAAAGAAAAACATTTCTGCTTCGGCGTCTGCGAGGAACTGTCAGGCTCGTTCCGGTGCCGCTGCCCGAATGGAACGCATGGAAATTACACCAAGCCCGGTGGCTGCATCATCGACTCTGTGGACACAATCCGAGGTACACTAGCGTGTCGATTACTATTGCGTGCAACAAGAAACAATGGAACAGTTAATGTTAATTAGTTAATTATCTCGTTCCATCTAGGAGTGAAATGCATCACTAGTCCAACAATTCGGAAATTCATCGATTTAGGCCATAAAATTGTCTATTTGATCAAATAAGGACAAAACCGACCTGAGAGGAAAAAACTGGCCTCCCTTATTCCGCTAGTGAACTAATAATTTTTTTAGGAGATCTGTGTGCAAGGTGACTGGTTTTTTTCTCACAAACCATGCTAACAACATCTGTGGAGAAAAACTATATATATAAAAAAATTAGTGCTGCCGAGAATCGAACACAAGTGCTTTAGCATTGCCAAGTAACTAATGTCACATTTGGTTGTACTGCTCACCTTGCCTTAGCCCAGCTAGCTCGGCTGAAGATCTTGCCGTCCAGAGCGAGCCAAATTGGCTCGCCTCGGCGAACGATGATTTCTTTACCCATCAAGGCTAGCTTGCCCTCTAAAGCCAAATTATTTCGGTTGAACCAAATGCTTAGACTGGCCCGGCGAGGCCCCAGGATCCAAACGTGCCCTTAACTGACCAGCACAACATCCTCATGTTTGTGAACTAAGTCGAAGCCCACTCCATATATTAACAGAATATACAAATGCTTTCCTACATTCACGCGATCATTTCCTAAACCCACATGTTAATTTGAGGAGCGGCCTGATAGCCAACAGAAGGAAAGTGGATTTAGGAATGGATCTTTAAGAAAGGATCCACGTGATCACATGGATTTTGGAAAGGATTTGTATTCCATTAATATCAAGGTATCATCATTCTAATAAAGAACGGATTGCATCTTAGTACATATGTTGATTGATGTTGCGCTGGTTAGCGAGTTGCTCGGCAGCTCAAAAGGGCTTTTGTTCGATTCTCGGCAACACTGGTTCATTATAATATATATGTACTTCTTCTCAATATACATGTTGTTAGCATGGTTTATGAGAAAAATTGGCCACTTTGCACATAGACCCCCCTGAAACGTAAAAAATGCTTAATTCATGAAGGGAGGCTGACATGGCAGCTCCGTGCCCGGTTTTTCCCTTCTCGGATCAGTTTTGGCCTTATTTGATCAAATTAACGAGTTAATGGCCGAAATCTATCAATTCTGAGTTGTTGGCCTAAAATGTGCAATCGGTTTGAGTTAGTGGACTAATGGTGCATTTCAGTCTTCCATCTAGTATATATGGTTGAGCAAATAGTACCAGCAGTAAACGTGTGAATTGCTTTTCAGGTAACAAGAACATGGGTTTAGTCATTGGTCTCTCAGTCGCTAGTGGCCCATTTATTCTACTTTTGGTTCTTGGTGCACTTCTAATAACCCGTGGATTTAAGCAACACAAGACAAAGGTGTTGCGACAGAAGTTCTTTAGTCAAAACCGTGGCCAGCTGTTTAAGCAATTGGTATCTCATAGAGCCGACATCGCAGAGAGGATGCTCATCTCTTTAGAGGAGATAGAGAAGGCTACCAACAATTTTGATCAAGCCCGCAAGCTCGGTGGAGGTGGGCATGGCACTGTCTACAAAGGGATCATGTTAGACTTGCATGTTGTGGCCATCAAGAAGTCAAATATTGTTGTCAAAAGAGAAATCAACGAGTTCATAAATGAGGTTGCCATACTCTCACAGATCAACCATAGAAATATTGTGAAGCTTCGTGGATGTTGCCTCGAGACAGAAGTCCCTTTACTGGCTTATGAGTTCATTTCCAACGGAACACTCGCTCATCATCTTCACACGGAAGAACGAGCATTGCTACCTTGGAAAGATAGGTTAAGGATCACAAGTGAAACAGGGAAAGCTCTTGCTTACCTTCACTCAGCTATGTCAGTCACTGTAATACATAGAGATATCAAACCCTCCAACATACTTCTTGATGATGCCTTGACAGCAAAAGTGTCAGACTTTGGAGCTTCAAGGTACATTATTCCCATGGATCATACAGGAACAACAACTGCGGTGCAAGGAACTATAGGGTACTTAGATCCTATGTATTATTATACTGGACGCCTCACGGAAAGTAGTGATGTTTATAGCTTTGG